AAAAAAAAAAAAAAAAAAAGCAATAAATTAAGTTGTCATAAAAAATGACAGAGCAGGGAACTCTAAAAGTCCATTCTGCCGCTAAAGCAAGAAAAAACTGGTAAAGTGTCAGAATCAACCTTTTTGGAACTCTGGAAAAATAACCGAAGTTTGCAGCAAACAGGAATGCTTAATTTAAAAAACAAAAACAAAAAGCAGGGTCAGGTGCAGTGGCTCATGCCTGAAATCTCGGCGCTTTGGGAGGCCGAGGCAGGAGGATCACTTGCGCCCAGGAGTTTAAGACCAGCCTGGGCAACATGGTGAGACCCTGTCTAAAAACAAAACAAAACTGGCTGAATCTTGATAAGAGAACTTTCTGGTGTTTTAACCTACCCTGGTCCTATCACCCACTCTCCAGCTTGGTGGTGTCACTGAACAGCAGCCCACACTCCCAGTACTGGTGTACAGATACAGTACTGGATGCCAGCACCTGACAGGGCAGGACGAACTTATTCTCAAAAAATTGTGGTTGTTTGTTTTGACCTGTCAGCTCCCTGGAGGACTAGCTCAAAGGGCCTGCTTTATCTCAACTAACTAGGAACTATCCCAGTGCTGAGGGGGTTACATGAAGGGTGTTTATCAAAAACACTTCAAAGTAAAATGTATTAGTCTCTACTGCCTAGGGCAAAGGATAACAGCTGGGGCATCCAACACACTAACCAAAAAGACTGAGAGGAAAGTTGGGAAATGAGAAGCTCTGGGAAATAAGAGCTTTGAATAGCTCTGACAAGTACCTGGAATTTAGAAGGCCACATGCATGTCTAGGGCTGGGCACATGCTCAGGAAAGCTATGAGAAGGCCACACGTGGCTCACCTTCAGGCTCTATTCAAGCAGGAAGTGAAGGCTAAGGCAGAGTTGTAACCACCTGACTGTGTTGAAGACATGTCCGAATATACATTCTAGCTCCTGAAGCAACCTTCCCTTACCTCTCTTACCTGTGCCTGTGATAAGTGTAACAAAGTTTTCCAGTCCCTTTCCTTGGCCAAATTTCCTTTCTGCCAGGGCAGCACAGTTGCCATCATTGTCTACCCACACGGGGAGATGCAAAGTGTCAGACAGGGGGGTCCTGAGGTCCACAGAGTTCCACTCTTGGATCAGTTTGGTTGAATGCAGCACAATTCCTTCCCGAGGATTTACACGGCCACCTGTGGAAATGCCTGTGCTCCACCACGAACACAAGGAAAATAATGCTGATGAGCAATCTCAGGAAAGTGTGCTGACTTTCTTGGCTTAGAACACAGATTCATTCACCTCAGATCTCCTAAGACAAACATTACCAAGGACTGTAAGGAAATATGAGACAGTTCTGAATTAAAGTCATAGCGCCTCGAAGATTTCTAGACCTGTCACTGCTTCTTTCCTAATGTTTGTTGGTGTCCCCGGAAGTCTCCATGCTTGGGGCCCACAGGCAGCACCTAGAGTCATCTGTGCACAGGGCAGATGCTGATTTGATGCTTAGGCATGCATCACAAGTTAGTCAATTTTGTACATTAAAATGACCATTTCTTGGATTTATAATTTACAATCTTACCTACTCCCAAAATTCTGCAGTTCAGTTTTACAGCTTCTGCCGCAGCTTCCACACACATCTGTAGGATTAAATTAATCCTCTCTTCATAGGTTTTAGGATTGAACTGAGTATATTTCTTAACTATTTCACCCTAAAAGAGAAAACAACAAGCTCTGTCTCACTGGTCTTAGCTAAGATGCACATTGTGAGTGTTGTGATCTTTTTCATGATAAATCGGATACTGCTATAGGACGGCCCTACAGTCTTAGATGAGTGCTTGGGGAGGGAGCCACTGCCTGGCCTGGGCCAGGCCTGCGATAAGCCAAGGTAGTTCCTGTAATTTATTTTAATATGAGGCTGTTGAAGCAATGACAACTCCACAGCCAGCAAGATGGGCCCCTCTCTTTTTTTTTTTTTTTGAGATGGAGTCTCGCTCTGTTGTCCAGGCTGGAGTGCAATGGCACGATCTTGGCTCACTGCAACCTCCACCTCCCGGGTTCAAGCGCTTCTCCTGCCTCAGCCTACTGAGTAACTGGGATTACAGGTACCTGTCACCACACCTGGCTAATTTTTGTATTTTTAGTAGAGACAAGGTTTCACCATGCTGGCCAGGCTGATCTTGAAGTCCTGACCACGGGTGACTCAGCAACTAAGTAGCTGAGCTTTAATCATCTCCTGTAACTGAATTCAGTGATGGTCTGGATACTCTATTTCTTTAGGGTAAATTTCCATGCTGGCTGGCAGAAAGACCACATTGTTTAAATTACTGTGCTTTGTATGGCCTGGCATGGTGGCTCACACCTGTAATCCCAGCACTTCGAGAGGCCGAGGCAGGTTGATCACTTTAACCTCAGGAGTTCAAGACCAGCCTGGGCAATAAGAGGAAACCCCATCTCTATAAAAAATACAAAAATTAGCTGGGCGTGGTGGCACACGCCTATAGTCCCAGCTACTTGGAAGGGTGAGGCTGGAGTTCGCTTCAGCCAGGGAAGCGGAGGTTGTAGTGAGCTGAGATTGTGCCACTGCTCTCCAGTCTGGGCGACAGAGTGAAACCCTGTCTCAAAAAAATGAAATAAATTACTGTGCTTTTTTATATGTCTTAATACCAAACAGGGATAGTCCCTCCTAATTACTTGTTTTTGTTTTTATATTTTTTCTTTGCACACTTACTTTTGTACTTTTAATGTTAAACTTCTTTTTTTTTTTTTTTTTTTTTAAGAGATGGGGTCTCGCTATGTTGCCCAGGCTGGAGTTCAGTTGCCATTCACAGGTGCGATCCCACTACTGATCAGCACGAGAGTTTTGACCTGCTCCGTTTCCGACCTGGGCCGGTTCACCCCTTCTTAGGCAACTTGGTGGTCCACTGCTCTCAGGAGGTCACCATATTGATGCTGAACTTAGTGCAGACACCTGATCAGCATAGCGCACTACAGCCCAGAACTCCTGGGCTCAAGCAATTCCCCCCCCCTCAGCCTCCCGAGTAGCTGGGACTACAGGCATGTGCCACTGCGCCCAGCTTAATGTTAAACTTTTAAAAATTCCACTGTGGTTTACAATAATTTTATTAAATGTAAAAAAATACCATTGAAATATTTACTAGAATTATGTTGAACTTATAAATCCAATTTGGAAAACAGTGACATCTTAAAAAAATAATCAGCACTTCCATCCAGGGCATTTTTTCAAGGCTCTATATCTTACAGTAAAGTTTTATAATTTTCTTTATATAGATCACATAGTTTCCTGGTTTCAGTTGTTCTTAGAGGAGTTTTTGTTGTTGTTCTGAATAAGATCTCTCTTTCCATTTATATTATTTTGTTATTAGTGGATTTTAATATATCAAAAAAAGGGTTAGAGCTGTCACTAGGATTGTCATTAAAAATAAATCTAGGCCAGGCATGGTGGTTCACACCTGCAATCTCAGTGCTTTGGGAGGTGAAGGCTGGCAGATCCCTTGAGCCTGGGAGTTCAAGACCAGCCTGGGCAACATGGGGAACCACTGTCTCTATAAAAAATTTAAAAAATTAGCCAGGCATGGTGCCATAAGGCATAAGTTCCATCTCCTCAGGAGGCTGAAGCACGAGAATCTAATAAATCTAATAAAAAATTAGCTGGGCGTGGTGGTAAATGCCTGTAATCACAGCTACATAGGAGGCTAAGGCAGAAGAATCGCTTGAACCTGGGAGGCAGTGGTTGCAGTGAGCTGAGATCGTGCCACTGCACTCCAGCCTGAGTGACAGAGCAAGACTCTGTCTCAAAAAAAATAAAAATGCAATTAGAACTGGGCACAGTGGCCTATAGTCCTAGTAATTATACTTCAGAGGCTGAGGCAGAGGATCGTTTAATCCCAGGACCTTGAGTCCAGCTTGGGAAACATAGGAAGACCTTATCTCTAAAAAAAATTTTTTTTTAAATTGAAAGAATAAAAAACCTAGAGTACTGCTTTCAGTCTTCACTGTGCATTAGAATCACCTAGGCAGCTTTTAACAAAGAGCAATGCCTGCCTCCCATTCCTAGAGACTCTAATTTAACCAGTCTGGGGTGGAAGCCAGGCATTTTTTAATCTATTAATAATGTTTTTTAACCTGTCAATAATCTCAATTTTTCCTTCCTTTATTCCCTTCATAACTTCCAAAATTATGTTAGATAATGCTGCAGAAAACATCTTGATTTCAACGAGAGTGCCTCTAGAATTTTACCACTGAAAAAGATGTTGGCCTTTCATATGGAATACATCATCTTTCTGTTAAGAAAATATTCTTCTATTAGTTTTTGTTTTATTTTTTGAGACTGAGTCTCACTCTGTTGCCCAGGATGGAGTGCAGTGGCGTGATCTTGGCTCACTGCAATCTCTGCCTCCTGGGTTCAAGCCATTGTCCTACCTCAACCTCCCGAGTAGCTGGGATTATAGGCGCCTACCACCATGCCCGGGTAATTTTTTTTTTTTTTTTTTGTATTTTTAGTAGAGACGGGGTTTCACCATGTTGGCCAGGCTGGTCTCAAACTCCTGACCTCAAGTGATCCGCTTGCCTGGGCCTCCCAAAGTTTTGGGATTATAGGCGTGAGCCACCACACTTAACGTTCTATTAGTTTTTAAAAGAGTATTTATAAGGGAAACCTCTTGGCTTTTCTTGAGAAAATTATGTTTTGTTTTGCTTTCCTTATTTGACCTAATGGTATTAATAAATTACCTACAAAGTTACGTTTAAAATCTTTGCTATTTCTTGGGCCGGGCGTGGTGGCTCACGCCTGTAATCCCAGCACTTTGGGAGGCCTAGGCGGGTGGATCACAAGGTCAAGAGATCGAGACCATCCTGGTCAACATGGTGAAACCCCGTCTCTACTAAAAATACAAAAATTAGCTGGGCATGGTGGCACATGCCTGTAGTCCCAGCTACTCGGGAGGCTGAGGCAGGAGAATTGCCTGAACCCAGGAGGCAGAGGTTGCGGTGAGCCGAGATCGCACCATTGCACTCCAGCTTGGGTAACAAGAGCGAAACTCCGTCTCAAAAAAAAACAAAAAAAGCCGGGCGCGGTGGCTCAAGCCTGTAATCCCAGCACTTTGGGAGGCCAAGGCGGGTGGATCACGAGGTCAAGAGATCGAGACCATCCTGGTCAACATGGTGAAACCCCGTCTCTACCAAAAATACAAAAAATTAGCTGGGCATGGTGGTGCGTGCCTGTAATCCCAGCTACTCAGGAGGCTGAGGCAGGAGAATTGCCTGAACCCAGAAGGCAGAGGTTGCGGTGTGCCGAGATCGCGCCATTGCACTCCAGCCTGGGTAACATGAGTGAAACTCTGTATCAAAAAAAAAACAAAAAACAAAAAACAAACAAACAAAAAATCTTTGCTATTTCTTATTGTGTCTGGAAACTTTAGGCACTTAACAGTATTTCAAACAAAGATTTTTCTAGTAGGCATATTCTTCCTAAATCATTAGACATCACTTTAACATAAACAGTTTGTTATTTTTATTTTTATTTTTTGAGACAGAGTCTTGCTTTATCGCCAGGCTGGAGTGCAGTGGCGTGATTTTGGCTTACTGCAACCTCTGCCTCCCAGGTTCAAGTATTTCCCCTGCCTCAGCCTCCCGAGTAACTGGGACTACAGGTGTGGGCCACCACATCTGGCTAATTTTTTGTAATTTTTTCTTTTTTTGAGGCGGAGTTTCACTCATGTTACCCAGGCTGGAGTGCAATGGCGCGATCTCGACTCACCGCAACCTCCACCTTCTGGGTTCAGGCAATTCTCCTGCCTCAGCCTCCTGAGTAGCTGGGATTATAGGCACGCACCACCATGCCCAGCTAATTTTTTGTATTTTTAGTAGAGACGGGGTTTCATCATGTTAACCAGGATGGTCTCGATCTCTTGACCTCGTGATCCACCCGCCTCGGCCTCCCAAAGTGCTGGGATTACAGGCTTGAGCCACTGCGCCCAGCCTGTAATATTTTTTAGTAGAGATGGGGTTTAACCATGTTGACCAGGATGGCCTCAATCTCCTGACCTCATGATCCACCCACCTCGGTCTCCCTAAGTGTTGGGATTACAGGCTTGAGTCAACACGCTTGGCTAGTTTGTTATTTTTATGAGGTTCTGTCAACCTGTTGACACTGGGTGATGGTTTGGTTGACAGACTGAAGGTATGCTGTATTCAATAAAGAGCAGAACTGTAAAAAGGCAAAATGGAAAATCCATACAACTGATCAGATTCTATAAGGAGGCAGCTCCCTTCACCATTTGCTGATAGATACCCTTACCTGGGCAGTGATAGTAAACAGCATACTCCACACTACAAGTTGTTACCAAGTATAGAATTTCAGGTCTCCTGGGTGGCAAAAGCCTAATCTGATGCCTAAAAGGGTCTTCCCACTGTCAAGTCTACCATCTTGGATTCCCAGAGAATTTACTTCTTTGAAATGTTCATGATTAGTAAAATAGTGAGACAAACATTATAAAGAATCCATATGTCAGTACTATGAGCAAATGATTACAAGCTCTTATGTATGTTTCCAGTCTTACTTTCCAACTATACATACTTAAAAAAGAAATCTATCATATGGGATATAAAGTTAGTAGTTTAGGAGTTATTTTACCTTCATGCTGACTATTGCAACTCGGAGGTTCGTCCCACCAAGATCAACAGCCAAGGCACTTAGAGTTTCAAGAATATGGTCAATATCTTGAGAGATATTCTCCTTCACAGGAGGGAAGCAGAATTTCTTTTGTAGTGGCTCTTGAAGATCAATAGATTTGAGAAACTTCAAAATCCTTGGAACAGCATTTCCATCCCCATATATCTTTGAACTGCAATATATATACAAAAAGTCAATTAAATTAAATGCTTCTGCCATATATGTTAAATGGTAGTGAGGGCATAATATAATGGAATCTGAGACTTCAGGTAAAAATAATTTGTGCTTCTTCCTAAAATGACATCTCCCTGCCATGTGCAGTGGCTCATGCCTATAATCTCAGCACTTTGGGAGGCCAAGGCAGGCAAATCACCTGAGGTCAGGAGTTCAAGACCAGCCTAGCCAACATGGCAAAACCCCATCTCTACTAAAAATACAAAAATTAGAGTGTGGTGTTGCACACCTGTAATTCCAGCTGTTTGACAGGCTGAGGCAGAATTGCTTGAACCCAGGAGGCAGAGGTTGCAGTGAGCTGAGATTGTGTCACTGCACTCCAGCCTGAGCAACAAAGCAAGACTCCGTCTCAAAAAAAACCCAACAAAATACATATTCTACACTGGAACCTTTGGTACAATAATAATGGGTATGATATTAGCAATCCCTGTCTCCCCAGCAACTAAGGGCCCATAGGCATAAGAAGGAAAGCTCTGTTAGGATGATTAAACAATGACTGTAGCTCTAAAATGGTACCGAAGGTAGCTTCCCTTTTAAATCACTCAAAAAAAAAAAAAAAAAAGATTTCTACTCACCAAGGGTACTGTTTACCAAACTGAAGGTGCAGTGCTTGCAATATTTTGTCTTGGGTGTCAGCATCCCGGACATGAAGAACATTCTCCCCTGGGTAAAACCAGTCACATGTTACAAGGATTTGGAAGTGGGAATATCCAAAGAATAAGGAAATTATCAGTGTACTATGTTCATAATTAGACCTCAAATCCACCTGACTTTAGATAAGTTTTTTGTTAGGGAAACATCAACTTTTCTACTGTATACCCTTTAAAGAACTCTTAGCAAGATTTCAGTATATCAAACCCTTAAGGGCACTAGTGTCCTTTATTCCCAAAGAGAACAAATCAAGGTTTTGTTTATTGAAATAAATAAGGTGGATTAGCCTGGCATCCACTTACCATTTGCCTAGTCATCTATCAGATTCACTCTCTTTCAACCTGCCCTGCCTTCCATCTACTCAGCCAGCGGTTCACTTGGCTGGTCAGGCAGTAACTTTCCCTCCAGATGCTTCCTGACCAATATGAGGGAGTAAATCTAGTAAAAATGGCCACGTTCAATGAGCTTGGCTAAGAAGAGAAGAGTGGACAAGTAGCAGCTGGAGAGAGGTGTGGGGTCAAGAAAGGGGTTGCAGGGCCGGGCGCGGTGGCTCAAGCCTGTAATCCCAGCACTTTGGGAGGCCGAGGCGGGTGGATCACGAGGTCAAGAGATCGAGACCATCCTGGTCAACATGGTGAAACCCC